GAAACTTCCGTGTGAAAAGAGCTGCAAGATAGTAAACAAAGTGTCGCCATACTCAAAGAACAAGTCGAAAACATGAGGCTCGGTTTGTTGCAAAACGCGAGTTGCACTAGCGACTACTAGGATGAAACTTTGCTTGTGTCAACTGTGGTACATAGTTATGGACGAGCTTTAGATTAGTCGCTTTCAAACAAAACCTTTCCGTCGACGAAGCGGAGGCGTTCTTCGTGCGCATCATCCACATAAAGCCTTCTGAAGAGCTGGGAGGTTTGCCCGTTCATGTTGCCAACTTCGTTTCCTACCCGCTGCACGCGATTGTGGTTAAGTGTTTTCCAAGAATGAGAGATGGAGAATGATAATCGGTCACTATTCCAGAATAGTGACACTCAATTTTCCAGAATAGTGACACTCACTACTGAATCCGATGTCAAACGTTGACCTATACTTCCACAAAATGGAGATCCAGTCTCTGGGGACCGAGATGTATACCCATGACTCGGCTAGATCTGGTCATAATACGAAGATTAAACCTCAGCTCCGCCAAGATCCAGCCCAAATGACATATAAGCGACGACGATCAATAGGGAAGGGCAAGTGCCCGACTCATTTGAGAGATCTAGTGGTTGTGGGGGTAGAAACGGTTGGTGTATAGGACTTAGCTACAAATAAACAGACTCAAATTTTGCATTGTGTACATTTGCCTTCCTTCCCTCAACAACCAGAACATAGCTGGCCGAACGAGCTCTGTGAAGGCTGGGAATAGCAAATCTAGTGTTGGTTGTGATAACTGGGTAGTATAATGACACATAGTGGACTTTCCTTCACAAGTTCAGATCTACAAGGTTAACAGGATTTACTGCTTGTCTGGCAGTACCTATCAATTCTCAATGATCAAAATCCCGCTATAGCAATCGGCAATTATGACGAAAAGAAAACTCAAGGGAAAACATCCTAAAGGCTACAGTCAGATCGCAGACCAAGATCGCCATATACGACAGGATCGAAGTACTCGCTTGTGATCTGGACCCTTTATCGGACGTAGAGTGAAGATCGTTCACTACTACTCCACCCAATCCTCGCGTCTCGCAAAGGCACTCACGCTTCATCACCTGAACCTCTGCAGTTTCCATAGGATCAAGATGCTGCCTTACCGACGGGTACACGAGGTGAAAAAGTTCAGTAGATCACGGATCGTCGGGGGACCCCTCCGTTAGTCGGTGTCTGGGTGCAGGTGGGAAGTCGGATCCAACAATCTTGCAGCTTCGCTGATCCAGCTACACACGCGATTATCGCCGTGCTCATCACACAGATCGCTCTATTCATCCTTTTGATCGACCCCTTGCCCGATGTTCAGGTTAAAGCCGTTATCGACGTAGCTCGTTTTGCACCGCTGCTGGTTGTCTTAAACTACCCTAACGGGTTCGCTGTTCTTGCAGGAGCAGCTGTACTTGTACTCAAGTCAAGTCAAGTTTCTTTTTTGTCCTGGCTGCACGTGTTTATAGTAATTATAAAATAATGTTAGTAAGATGTGAATTGTACTATAATAGTGACTCAAATCACCCATAGTAATTACATTTATTCCAGTATTATAGTTTCGAATAACATGGACTATGTTAGTACTACTTCGAATGCGTATCTGGACAAGCGAGCTAAAAGAGGAAGTAGATTTGTTTTCTAATTCTACAGTCCAGAGGGGACACTCCGCCAGCAAGATTCGAACTTCAGTGCCGCCTATTGGGCTCAGTGTCAACGGCCGAGGAAAGTCCTCAACAACATTTGGCACTATCAGTATTTATTGATATATAGTTCTTCTCACATTGCTTTGTCTTCATGACTTAATTTGGCTACAGACCGGGGCAGTGCGTGCTACGCTACTACGTCGCGCTGATTGATAGGGAGGATCCCGCCATCGTGCCCATAGAAATAATATGTTGTTTCGCATGAACGTTGAACATTCTTACAGTTAGTAGGATATTAATCGTGAAGGTTTTCTATCCCTATGAGCATATTTA